TTCTTTTCACCTTAGAGAACCAGAGGTTGCTGATATTCGCGCAGAACCCTCAGTGATACCATCTAGGACCTGTATTCTTTATGTCTTTTCTCTTTTTTATTGAGAGGTTTTTGCTATAGGGTGTGTGCGCTTGCCAGAAAGACAGACAGAGAGAGTCAGAAAGCAAGAAATCACCCCCCAGAGGGGATGGCCATGCCACAATCCCTTCTCCTCCATTCTCCTCTTGAGATCTTGGGCACACACGCACATGTACCCAGCTCGAGTTTAAGTCATTGGATCCGGGACTTGAACCGCAGTCAACTACATGGGAGTCCAGCAACATAGCCATTACACTAACTGCTGGTCCCACCTTTATGTCTTTTCTCTCTGCCATAATTAGTAGCTTGGCTTTCATATTCAGGCTTGTTATAAAATAAATGAAACAACTTTAGGGGGAAAGAAGAGAGGGAGGGATTGTTTTAGGTAAAGTTTAGACAAAAGCCTTTTCTGTAAGGCAGGAAGAAGAGGGATGAAGTAGTTCCAGGTGCATCTTGCCATTTTATCAGGTAGAGGAGGCTATACCTGAAGCTACCCTGTTGTCAGACTTCCAGTAGGCATTACTGGTAACAGAGCACATCTGACAGCTAGCGAGTGGGGAATGAGGAATATAGCCCTGTGAGGGATATATGAGGTTCTTCACTGACTTGGAGAATTCCTGGACTGCTGTGATTTTTTTTTTTTAACTTCATTGTCATTATTTATTTTTGATGTTTGATTTTTTTTTAAAGTTGATCAGAGGAAAACACAGAGAAGGAAAGTGAGAAAGCAAACTACCTTATCCAGGACTCAACCGCAATCAGCCATTTGGGAGTCCAGCCGCCTTAACCACCAAGCCACCCACCAGCCTCAATTTTTTAATGTACCTCCTTCTTTTTCCAGTCTTTGCTTTTTTCCCCACCCTATCTTGTTAATAGAGTTGCTTGCTTTGTGTCTTTGCTTCTTTCTGGTGGCCTTATTTGTTTATACCTCAGTCTCTGGCAAGTGCACAGGCCCTATAGGAAAAAAAAAAAAAAAGAAGAAGTAAAGCCCTTGAGGTTTTGCATTTACCTCTCTATGTGATGTCATTCCTTTTTTTTTTTTTTTAGAGGATTTTGCCTTAGGGCGTATCTGTCCTGGAGGAAGAGAGAGAGAGACAAAGACATTGAGAGGGAGAAGGAGAAATCACCCCCAGAAGGGATGGCCACACTGCAGTCCCCTCTCCTTCATTCTCCTCCAGGGATTGTGGGCATTCATGCACACAAGCTGGGCATGGTTTTCAACCCACCAGTCCGGGACTCAAAACTATGATCAGCTTTGTGGGAGTCCAGCAACATAACTGTTATGCCACCTGCTGATCTGATGGTTTCATTCTTTTCTTGCATTCTGAATTTACAGCTGCAGTGCTGAAAGTTTAAATTGCCAGGAGCTTGACTGCCATCTGTGTAGTACATTACTCTATATGTTGATGGAGTAAATACCACTGTATCACACAAGTGTGATTTTAGGGGTAGTATTCTTTGATCTGGTAAATATTTTCTGAGTACATATTATGTAAGACTCTGTGTTAAGAACTGGATAAACTAAGGACTTCTAGCTCAACTATTTTTGTTGGATAGTAAGATTTGCTATCAAAACCAGAATATTTAATTAGCATTAATATAATTAATGGATATACCTAAGGGTTTTGGTTTTGTTTATTTGTTTGTTTTACTTTTTTTCCCTCTAACATAAATAGGCCAAATTTCACGTTAATCTTAGGTTTTAATATATTGGATTGTCAGAAAATATCTGACATTTTTTTCTATACAAAAATGCTCATGACTGGGACCAGTAGTTGGCATAATGGCTATGTTGCTAGACTCCCATGTAGTTGACCATGGTTCGAGTCCCAGACCTGGTGGCTTAAACTCACGCCGGGTACCTGTGCATGCCCAAAATCCTGAGAGGAGAATGGAGGAGAAGGGATTATGGCGTGGCCATCCCCCCTGGGGGGTTGATTTCTCATTTTCCGTTTCTCTGTCTCTCTCTCTCTTATGAGCACACACACCCTATAGCAAAATCCTCTCCCCCCCCCAAAAAAAAAAAATTGCTCATGATTTTTGCAACAACCCAGTACATTTGGTGTTTAGGACCAGCAGGTGGTGTGGTAGTTGAGGCTCTGTACTACCACCTGGACAACTGCAGTTTGAGTCCAGACTGGCTGCTTACTTTCTCATTTTCCCTCTCTCTCTCTCTCTCTCTCTCTCTCTCAAATAACTCTTTAAATATATATATATACACACACATTTACTCTGATATTTCAAGATGATTTTACTGTTCATGTTTCCAGTGTGAATGTATACTTGGGAACAGTTGAGAAAATGGAAACCTTCAAAAGTCTTTTAGATGAATTTTGTTTTTTTGTGGGGTATATTAAAAAGTCTGGCGCGGGACCGGCAGGGGGTGTGTGGGGTAAGAACGCTAGACTCCCACATGACCAACCACGGTTTGAGTCCCAGACCTGGTGTCTTGCATTCTCACTTTCCTTCTCTTTCATTCTCAGTCTGTCCCTTTCTGGTCAAATTAAAATAAATAAATAACGTTAAATAAAATAATTATTTAAAAAGTCCCCGACCTGGTGGCTTGCTTTCTCATTTTTCATCTCTCTCTGTGTGATGAATTGAAAAAATAATAATAATAATTAATAAAATTAAATAAATAATTTTTTAAGTTGGTGATTGAGGAGGGCTAGTTGCCTGGCTGTGTTAAATGGGAACTTGGGGATCTAATTATTGGAAGACTTCCCAAGGAGCCTCCTTTTTTTTATGTTTCCACTCCCCTTCTGTTGTGCTTTGATTCTAAAGTTTTTTCAGGACTGTAGGTCTTGCCACTTGACTTTTCAACCACATCCTCACTTCATCACTTGGCAAGGCAGAGAAGGGACAGAACTAAGACATCTACCATTCCTCTGTGTCTTCCAGTATTGCAGTCTGCTAGTTTCATTGCATATAGAATTTAATTTCTATTTTTGTTCTCTATATTTGTTTGTAGTAATTATTAAGTTAAAAAGCAGATTACATGGGGCCAAATGATAGCACAGTGATATTGCAACTGAACCCAAATGGGAAGGTCCCCAGTTCATGTCTTACTTAGGCTCTTGTACACACTGGAGGTGTGCACATGTGTGCCAGTGATCCAGGTTTGGCTAAGGTTGGAGGGGTAAAGCATAGCATGAAGAACCTGTGGGGGTGCCTGTCATTTTCTCACAATTCACTTAACCAAGAACATTAAATTTTTAGTTTGGCACTTTTTAAAAAATAGACTGCATGTATGCATAATCATTTGTATATATTGGGGGAAAAGCATATCTATACCAAAATGTTAACAATAATTAACCATGTGGATGGTGAGTTGTTTGGAGATATTTTTCTTTATGTGTATCACTGTGATTTCTATAATACCCCCTATTACTTGTGTGAGGGTTCTTCAAAAAGTTCATGGGAACCCAGCATCAGTGGTGCAGTTAGTATCATACTGAACTGTAGTGCAGGAAGTCACATCACCACCTACACGTCCAGATCTCTGGCCGGGTCAACCTGAAATATCCTGGGAGATGCATGCATGTGCCCAGGATCCCGATGACCAAAGGGGAAGGGATTATGGAATGACAAGACCCTATGAAGTATATTCCCTAACCCCTGCCCTGCTGTCTTGTGTATGAGGACATGCTTTCTATTGTGAATTTTTTTTAAAAAAGAAAGAAAAAACAAGAGTTTATAGAAAATGGAATTAAAGTATGGATTTATTTTTGGTGTAAAATATGTGAAAAATCCATGCTTTTTTTTTTCATAATACATTTCCATGAAGTTTTTGAAGATCCCTCATTGGATAAAAAGATTACTGAGTTCCTTATGTTTGCAATGACAGTAAATTTTTTTCTACTTTTATTTTTCAGATTAACAAAATACATTATATTATTATGTTTCACTAAATTTTTGAAGGCTGTGGGACTTTTTGAATCATATGATCTCCTAAAAGCAGTTCACATTGTTCAGTTCATATTTATATTAAAACTTGGGTAAGTATGTTCTTTCTCAATTTTTAAATTTCTTTTAAAATTTGTTTTTTAACCGAGTATCTTTTAGAAACCTTACAGAGAATATTTTATACAATTTATTCCTCCTAACAAGTATTTGGCAGTTTTTTTTAATATAGTACATAAGGTGTGAAGTACAAAGAAACTGTTAAGAAAAGGGTCCAATCCCTCATGTTTATGAAAATAAATAGCAGTTAAAGGGAAAGAAAAGGGGCCCAACTGTAGTAGCACAAGTGGAAAGACACTGCATGATGTGCATGGCGGGCTCATGTTGGCTTCTTGGTCCAGCCTAAACACTCTGGTTATGGTGGCATGGCCTGTGGGCCTAGCTGACTAGAAAACGGGGGCAGGAGGAGAATTACATGACAAGACTCTTGTCTGGTAGATAAATAATTAAGTATAGTTCACCAATAGGATTTCTTTAGAGGATATCATACCTTTCAAGTTCTAGAATACTTGTTTAAAATAAATGTCCTTACTTAAAACTACATCTTGTATTTAATTTTAATATTAATATATTAATGTTTCAATATTCACAGGACTGCATTTTTTATGGTTTTGTTTCAAAAGCCATTTTCTTCTGGGAGAACTATTACCAAACACCAGGTGAGATTTTTGCCAAATCCTTTATTCCCTGCAGCTTCTCATTCAGTGAGCCAGGGTACAATGTGTTTTTTTGTTTTGTTTTTTTCATCAAGGTTGCTTTATGAATGATTTAAGTACATAGCAGAATGTTTCCAGAGTTAACTTGCTCTTGTCTTTTCAGAATTGAGGATTTAAGAGTAAGCAATAAAATGCTAAGGTAATGGAATTTTTTTTTTTTAGTTTTTAACAAATTATTTGTTTATTTAATTCCATTTGTTATAATTTTTTTAAATTATTTATTTATTTATTTTTAATTTTGAGAGGTTTTAGCTATAGGGCACATGCCTTTTATTTTTAATTTTGACCAGAAAGAGAAAGTGAGAAAGCAAGCCACCAGGTCTGGAACTCAAACTGTGGTCAACCATACGGGAGTCCAGCCCCTTAACCATCATGCCATCTGCTTGTCCCTGTTGTTATTTTTTAACTGACCAGAGAAATAAAGAAGGAAAAGGCAAGAAAGCAAGCCACCAGGTTCGGGACTCAAACCACAGTCAGCCACGTGGGAGTCTAGCGCCCCAACCACCACGCCGCCAGGTGACCCTGATAATGGAATATTTTTAAATACTAAAGAGGGTAGTTTTTTTTTTCATTTGTCCTTGTTATAGAATGAGTGTGCTTGCTGGAGAAACACAGAGAGAGAGTGAGAAATTAGCCCCCGGAGGCATGGCCACACTGCAGTCCCTTCTCCTCCATGCTCCTCTTGAGAGGAGAAAATCAGCATGATTTTCAAGCCTCTGGGTCTGGAGCTTAACCTGCAGAGTTGTTCATGTGTGATTCAGCTACCTTAACCTCCATGCCACCTGCTGTCCTAAAGGTAGGAAATTTTAAAAGCATTCATGTATTTGTGGTTTGGGGTTTTTTGTTATTTTTTTTTTAAGAATTATTATTTTTAATTATTATTCTTCAATTTGAGAGAGACGGAGAGAGAAAGAAAGAAAGAAAGCAGCCAGGTACAGGATTCAAACCATGGTAAGCCATGTGGGAGACCAGTACCTCAACTACCAGCTTGCCAGCCCTGTATTTGTGTTATTTTATTTTATTTATTTATTTATTTTGGAGAGATTTTCGCTATAGGGCGTGTGCGCTCGCCAGATAGAGAGAGAGAGAGAGACAGAGAGACAGAAAGCGAGAAATCACCCCCAGGGGGGATGGTCACGCCACAATCCCTTCTCCATTCTCCTCTCGGGATCTTGGGCACGCATACACACATGCCCGGCAGGAGTTTTAAGCTACCGGGTCCAGGATGCGAACCGCGGTCGACTACGTGGGAGTCCAGCAACAATAGCCATTACGCTAACTGCTGGTTCCCTGTATTTGTTCCCTGTATTTGTGTTATTCCTTACTCTGAAAGATTTATAAATTGGACATGGAGGCATGCCCAGAGCCTAGTATGAATGCCAGTAGGAGACTAATAAAACCTCAGGCTGTATACCTTATAGTAACGAGAGGGGTAAAAAGCAGGACCTCTGGAGACAGATTTGTATTCTATCTGTCCTACTTACTAACCCTTACTTTAGGCAAGTTACTTAATTTCTTTCTATCTTATTTTGTTCATCTGTAAAATGGAGATACTACCTTCCTTATGGAGCTATAAGGAATAAGTGAATTATTGTGTGTGAAGTTCTTAGTTAATGCTTGGCATACGATTAGTATGCAGTACATATTAGGGTGCAATGCATCACCCTCATCAACATTATACCATTTAGGCAGCTGAGGTCAAAGCTTTATGTCAGAACTGTCCTACATTTTGTGTGATCTTCTCACAGAATTACTACTTTGGATAGCCAGTATACCCCATTATGTTTTTGTTTTGTGCTCTTACTTGCACCATGATTTTTGTATCAGAATAATAAATGTAAGTTCTTAATGTTTTAGAGATGAGCCCCTGTGCTCCCGGGAGAGACAGAAAGAGAAAGTGAGAGGAAAAAGTGAAAAATCACCCTGAGGGGATGGCCACACCACGCTCCCTTCTCCATTCTCCTCAGGATTTGGGGCACACACTCATCCAGTGTGATTTTCAAGCTGCACTGTTGGTCATGTGGGAATCCAGCACCTTAACCACCATGCCCTGCTGGCCCCAAGAATTTTTTTTTTTTTTTAAGTTAGGCTTTGTTGGCACTGGAGAGGGGCTCAGTCCTTCCTGGCAGCCACTTTGTGCTTTCCGTACGGCAACCAGGACATTGCTCAGCTCTCGGTGCTTCCATCTTGGCATGAATATATGTCCCCACCCACTTCTTGATGAACTTGAGAGCACGCTTGTCCCTGGACACCTTGAGCAGCTCCATGGTGCACCACTCATAGGGGACGAAGCCGCACACCTCCCGGATCATGTCATGCATGAACTCGTGTGCTTCGTGAGACGCCTGTGGCAGTAACAGCGCCTATGCCTAGGCTTGCTCACATTCTTGATCGTTTTGTGGCCCTTGTTGAGGCTCACGGCCATGGGGTAGTGCAGAGCTATGACTGCGGCTCTTCAGTAGGCCCCAAGGATGTTTTTAAAAATAGGATTAATGTTTAAAAACATATGAACTTTTTTTCCCTCTCTTCCAAATAATTGGTTTACCAAGATTCCTGATGGAAAACAATTTAAAGACTAAAACATTGTGTTCCTAGGAAACTAGTGAGAAACCAAGGAAATAAAATTATACTCTGTAGTAAAAAATTTCAAAATCTGGGACCAGCAGTTAGAGTAATGGCTTTGTCTCTGGACTCCCACGTAGTCGACCACAGTTCGCATCCCAGACCCAGTGGCTTGAACTCACGCCGGGCGCATGTGCCCAAGATCCCAAGAGGAGAATGGAGGAGAAGGGATTGCGGCATGGCCATCCCCCCTGGGGGGTGATTTCTCGCTTTCTTCTCTCCGTCTCTCTCTGTCTGCCTGGTGAGCGCACGCGCCCTATAGCAAAAACCTCTCAAAAAAAATTTTTTTTTTCAAAATCTAACAACACACAAGAATATAGATATGGTTCAGCCACAGTAGCAGGTGCTGGAGTCTGTTGCTAAGTGGGAAGCCACATGGGAGGCCCCATTTCCTGGCCTACCCCTGCAGAGCAGTTCCTGTAGTCCTACTTTCAGGAGGTTGAGACAAGAGGATCAAGAATGGTAAGACTGTCTTCAAAACAAAATAGGGCTGGCCCCCTCGGGCAGAAGTTAAGCCCTATGCTTAGGCAGTTGATCCCATGTGGCCGACACAGTACAAGTCCCAGCCCCAGCAACTTGAAAAACAAACCAGGCCTATATGTACACATGCCCAAAATCTCTACCGCATAGAAAAGTGAGGGAAAAAAGATTGCTGCCTGATCATGCCACACTGGGAGGTGTTTTCTCTCTCTCTCTCTCTCTGGTGAGCACAGAGGCCCTCTGACAATAAAAAGATAATAATATAATAAAACAAATAAATAAAATTTAAAATACCCTCCCATACACACATGCACACGCAAGAAATGTAGATAATGGGAAATAGAATACTCTAGCAAATCTAGAATTAGTTAAGGGAGTTTAATATTTCTATTTGATTTCAGCATATAATTACTTAGCCTTTTAAATATTTGTTAGCATTATTATTTTCCCTGTGTTTTATTTAAGAAGGAGATACTTAGCAAAACATATATGACTGAAATTTTTTATTTTTTGTTTCCATTTATAGTGGATCAAAATATTTAAACATGCAGTTGCTGGGTGTATCATTTCACTCTTGTGGTTTTTTGGCCTTACTCTTTGTGGACCACTAAGGTAAATAAAAATGCACGTTTTGATTTTTTTTTTCATTCTTAATACTAATTTTGCTCCATTATAATTTGTCAGATACTCATTTGTACAAATACTCCTTTCGCTTCTGTATCATTGAATAGAATTCAAATAATAGACAACTTGTTTAGTTTGTTGACTAGTTCTTTAGCGAATATCATTAATGTATTTGTTCTTGATCTGTCATAATATTTTGCTAGTTAGAATACCACAGGTTTCCGAAAATTTATAGCATAATTAGCATTTTAATCAGTCATTAGTTATCCCCATTAGCAACTGATTTAGAACCTAGAAATGTATGGGGGACCAGCAGGTGGCGTGGTGGTTAAGGTGCTGGACATTTCCCACATAGCCAACCACAGATCGAGTCTTGGATCTGGTGGCTTGCTGTCTCGCTTTCTCTCTCCCTCTCTCTCTTTCTCTCTCTCTCTGTGTCTCTCTGCTCAAATTAAAATAAATGAATGAATAAATAAATAAAATTAAATAAATAATTTTTTAAAAGAACCTAGAAATGGTAATAAAATAAAATAGAAAGGAGAGCAAAATTTCTAACAGCACTCGTTTTGCACAACTCTGAAGGTACCCTGTTGTCTAAAACAGGTCGTAATGCCATGATCCACCACCAGCCTCAGCCAGCCCTGGATCACAGGCATGCATGTACCCAGTGAACTCAGGGAGGTCTCTGGACATGAACCTGGAGCCATGTGAAACATTCCCCTATATCCGTATAGAGTAGTGTTTTGTTCTGTCTTAATTTTGTTTATTTGGGGGGTTTTTTGCAGATGGGCTAGCTTAGGGGAGGAAATGTTTATAGGCCATGTAATAGGAACTGAAATATATACAACTGTGCATAAGCATTCTTTCAATATTGACTGTCTCCAAAGAGTTTTAGTTAGTGCATAAGTGTAAGAAAAAAGTACCTTGCCATTGATAAGGGCAGAATATGAGGACAGGAAGTGAGGAGTAAAATGAGCGTTATTCTGAATTCTGAAGTATCTCACTCAGAGAAGTAGATTGGACAGAGTGTAAAGTGATGAAGGAAAATGCTTTGTGAAGAGGCCTTTCTCTTGGATCAGCTGGTGGCATGGTTGTTGAGGCAGCTAGATCTCACATGGCCAACTTGTGGCTTAAGTCCTGATCCATCAGGCATGTGTACATGCCTGCCCAAAATCTTGAGAGAATGGAGGAGAAGGAATTGCAATGGGTATATCCCCAATCCCCACCATGGGTGATTTCTCATTTTCTCTATTTCTTTCCCTTTCTCTCTCTTTGTGTCTCTCTTCAGCTAACACACATGCCTTGTAGCAAAAACTGGGGAAAAAAAGAGTTCTTTCTTCTCTCATGGCAAGCAGAATAATTTCTGGACTGGAATTCCATTGGCTTGTTTGCCCCATACTCTGTCAAATACAGAATATTCCTAATTCCAAATGTCATATCCCTAGTCATGATAGCAGCAACATCCTGGTAGGGTAGAAAAGCTGGCTGAATCTCTCACCTAACAGAAATGCCTGAGACTGGTATTTTTATAAAGAAGCAAAGTTTATTGACTTACAGTCATGGTGGCTAGAAAACTTAAAGGCATGACAAAATGGCAGGAAGCAGAACTTTTAGCAGAGCAGAGCATGGTTTAACCATGTGGCTTATGCCTGCCTCATTTCCTGTTTTTACACACTTAATCATGGGGGTGCTGTCCTAATGACTTTATCACACCTAATGTCCCCACCCTGGGATACTGTGAAGAAATTAAGTTTTCACCTAATAACCTTACAGTACAATCAAGTCTTAAGCCATGAAATTTTAGGGGATATCCACATTGAAAAACATGAACCTTTGTAGGACAAACCATTGTCCAAATCATAACACTTACTATCTGTAGTATTTTTTATTTCTTGCATATAAGATTATGCTTTGGTTCATATGCTACTAAATTACTGTTGCTGTGTGTTAGGGTTGCAGGGAAGACTATACTCTTTTTTTTTTTTTTTTTTTTTGGCTATAGGATATGTGAGCTCACTGGAGAGAGACATAAAATCAGAAATTACCCCCAAGGGGGGATGGCCATACAGTAATCCCTTCTCTTACATTCTTCTTTTGGGATTTTGAGCTTGCATGTGCACGAGTCCAGTGAGATTCTCAAGCCATGAGGTCTGGGACTCGAGCAACACAGTCAGTCGTGTGATCCAGTGGACTTAACCACCATGCCACCTGGCTGGCCCTGAAATACTTTAATTCTTACTTGGGTTCTTATTTACTCATCCACTTCCTGCCCTTACAAAGTAACCCCTACCACTACCAACACTGCCCTCTCATTCTTTAGCTAAAATCATCATACAGTTTCTGGGACCAGCAGTTACCATAATGGCTATGTCGCTGAATTCCCATGTAGTCCACCATGGTTTGAGTCCCGGATCTGGTGGCTTAAACTCACGCTGGGCGCGTGTGCATGCGTGTGCCCAAGATCCCAAGAGGAGAATGGAGGGAAAGGGATTGCGGTGTGGCCATCCCCACAGGGGTGATTTCTCACTTTCTGTCTCTCTGTCTCTTTCTGGCGAGCACACGCGCCCTATAGCAAAAAACCATCATACAGTCTCTCAATTGGAAAGTCTCCTCAGGTGTTTCTTAATCTGTCTTATTTGAGGTTAATATTACTCTTTTGATTTTTTTTTTTATTGTATTGGGTTGTTGGAAAAGTCATGGTGTATTTTTCTGTTTTTCTATGCAAAAATGCCTTATGACTTTTCCAGCCAACCCAATAATTTCAAAATATTAATAAAACTATAAGTTATCATTGATAGGATCTCGTTGCAGATTTTTGGGTACAGAGGAAAGAAAAAATCTACTTAAAAATTAACTGAAAATCTGTTACTATTTATTGGGTTGGCAGAAAAGTCATGACACATTTTTTCTATGTTTTTCTATGCAAAAATGTGTCATGACTCTTCTAACAACCCAATAGTTCTTATAAGCCTGCTTTTGGCAGGAAATAGTGTTTTTACTTTTTTTAAAAAGAAATATTTTGGAACCAGCAGGTGGTGGTGTGGTTAAGGGCACTGGACGCTCACATGGCTGACCTCAGTTCAAGTCCTGGACCTGGTGACTTACTTTCTCACTTTCCCTCTCTCTCTCTCACTCTTTCTCTCTCTCACTCTGTCCCTCTCTGGTCAAATTTAAATAAATAAATAAATAAGTAAAGTTAAATGACCTTCTCAGGTCAAATTATAATAAATAAATAAAGTTAAATAAAATCTTTTTAAAAAAAGAAATATTTCATATACACAGAAAAGTAAATACAGGTGTGAGTATGTTTAAAGAGTAGTGAAATGAAATCCGTCTACCTAACACCTATCCCCAAAATAAAATCGTAATCATATTTTTGAAGCTTGTGTGCCTCTCCCTGTTGAATACCTCCCTCTCCCTGCCTTTGGATATAACAATTAATAGAATCTTAATTTTTTTCTATTTTTCTTAATCTTCTTTATAGTTTTATCACATTGTATGTACATACATGCTTCTTTTTTTAATGTTTACTTTTTCACTTTATATAATAGAACTATATTGCATGGGGACCAGCAGTTGATGTAATGGCTATGTTGCTGGACTCCCATGTAGTCGACTGTGGTTCGAGTCCCTCACCCAGTGACTTAAACTCATGCCGGGTGCATGTGCATGTTTGCCTAAGATCCCAAGACGAGAATGGAGGAGAAGGGATTGTAGCGTGGCCATCCCCCTGGGGGATGATTTCTTGCTTTCTCTCTGTCTTTCTGGTGAGCGCATGCGCCCTATAGCAAAAAAAAAAACCTCTCCCAAAAAAAAGAGCTATATTTTTCTGCAACATGCTTTTTTCACTCAGTGATATGCTTTGAGATTTTTTTTAAGTTTATTTACTTATTCCATGAGCAAGATAATGAGAGAGACAGCACCCTCAATAAAGTCTTTTTTTCCCTAAAGAATTATTTTATTTAACTTTATTTATTCATTCATTCATTTATTTTAATTTGACCAGAGAGGGACAGAGCAGGGAGGAGGGGGGGAGGGAGTGAGAAAGCAAACCATGGTCGGCCATGTGGGAGTCCAGTGCCCTTAACCACCATGCCACCTGCCAGCCCCCATAATAGGGTCTTGACACTGCAACCCACTCTTACCCCCAACCAGACCCAGATCATAGGCACGTTCATACTGGTATACTCAGGAGGTCTCTGGAGTTGAACTGGGAATTTCCCCTTTTGGTGTACCACCCAGAGTATTTTTTTTTCTTTTTTAGAAATATTTAATTTCATTATCATCATTATTTTTAAAATTTGAACAGAGAGAGACAGAAAGAGACAGAGAAAGTGAAAAAGCAAACTGCCAGGTCTGGGACTCAAACCATAATCAGCCATGTGGTAGTCCAGTGCCTTAACCACCACATCACCTGCTGGCCCTAACCAGAGCATTTTTTTACCATTGCACTACTGTTCAGCCCCATGAAGTTTGCCCATTTGATCCATGTAGGATATAGTTCATTCATTTTTTTATCACAGCTTTTCAAAATACACTTCTCATACTTTAAAATTTCCCTTTGTAAAGTATATGTTTCAGATATATTTATAAGATGTTATTTTTTCTGTAATATAATAGTCCATTCAGTGGAAATACTCTAATATATATCATTCATTTTCTTGTTAGTAGATACATAAATTATTTCTCGTTTTGTCTTGCTGTAAGCAGTGCTGGTATATATATATATCATATAAGAAATCTTTAGCATATAATTCTATGAGTGATATTATCAAGTATTTATAGCTTTGACTTTTCTAAGGTCGGTAATACCAAAATATTTCCCAAAGCAGTTGTACCTATTTCTGTTTCTCATCATATTTTGTGAAATTGGAGTAAATATTTATTTTCTTTTCTCTTACTGTGGTTGAATTCATGCTTTCTGAAAAGACGTATTTCATTAATTATATTGTTGTATTTGTAGGACTTTGCTGCTATTTGAACACAATGATATTGTTGTCATCTCACTACTCAGTGTTTTGTTCACTAGCTCTGGAGGAGGACCAGCAAAGGTAGAATTTTTTCATTATCAGTTACTTGGAAATTGGAAGAATATGTACAAAATATGCAAAATAATAAAATTGTCTCTTACCATTTAAAAGAATGCAGGGTTTTTCTGCTAGTTTTAATTTTTTGTTTGTTTGTTTTTACTCAAATGCAACATCTCACCCAACTCAAGTATAAAACAGGAAATTGTCATTGGTACGATCCATAGACTCTACTCAGATTTTGCCAGTTTTACATGTATGGGTCTATAAAAATTTATCATGTGTATAGATTTGTGTAACCAGTACTACAGTCAGTTTGCAGAATGCATAGATGTAGCCAAAACCCTCCCCTGACCTCATTCTCTTTAGTTTTTGCTATAGAGAGTGTACTTGCTGGAGAGAGACTGAGAGAGAGAGGGAAGTGAGAATCACCTTCTAGGGAAGATGGACTTACCACAGTCCTTGCTCCTCCATTCTTCTCTTGGGATTTTTGGGCAATGCATGCACACATACCTGGTGTGTTTTTCAAGCTGCTGGGTCTGAGATTCTAACCGTACAGTCAGCTATGTGGTATCCAGCCACCTCCCTGCCACTTGCTGGCCCCACTACCTACCTGATTTTTAACCCTCAGAAATTATTTTTGGAAAATATCTAGGAACTTGTTAAAGCCTGATGAACATTTATCCAACATTTTACTAACTAGATATCCTTTTCATCTCAGAGAGTTCAAGAGTTACCCTCTTTGTCGATGAGTTACCAATCTGCAGTTCCAAATGACAGTATTTCTGGTTAGCAGATTAAATCATTTCTGTGCATGGTGCATTGTCCTAGACACTGGGAAAAGGAGAAATAAAGAGAAATAATGTATAATAGTCCCTGTTCTGAAAGGGGCCTTCAGGCAAAGTAACGGAAGGAAATCAATATAATAATAAATTTCAAGTGGATTGAAGTTTCTTTTTTTTAATGTAAAAAAAAAAACAGAATAAAATAATCTATAAAGAGAAAATAACTTTCTGAGTATAAAACAATGGGAAAGATCAGAAAGGGAAAACTCACCACATTTGACTTTTGTGATTACGATTTTCTCTTTTTTTTTTTTTTTAATTGCCAGAGGGCACATGTGCTCACCATAGAGAGAGGAGAAAGTACCTCCATCCCAGCAGAGGTGCCACAATCTCTCTCCACCCTGCCAGTATTGTGGGCAGTTATACACACATACCTGAATTATTTTTTAAGCCACTAGGTCAGGATTTGAACCAAGGTTGGCTGTATGGAATCTGGCTCCCTTAACCACTAGGCTATGGGCCCAGCCTGTTTACAAATTTCAGTATAAGAGAAATCATCGTGTAAGCAAAAAGCAACAATGACAACAACAACAAAAAAAAACTAGGAGATATAAAAATACTATATTTCTCTTACAATATAAATCATGGGCCAGCAGGTGGTATGAGGGGTAAGGCACTGGATTCCACATTACTGACTGTGAGTTTTAGTCCCTGACCCAGTGACTTGAAAATCATGCTGGGCACAAACCCTAGAGGAGAATAGAAAAGAGACTGTGGTGTGGCCATTTCCCCTGGGGGGTGATTTTCTACTTTTTCTCTCTCTGTCTCTGGTGACTACACATGCTCTATTGCAAAAGCTAAATAAGTTAATAAGATATTAACCATTCACATCAGTTTTTTTTTTTTAAGAGATTTTTGCTGTAGAGTGCGTGTGCTCGCCAGAAAGACAGACAGAGATAGAGAGACAGAAAGTGAGAAATCACCCACTAGAGGGGATAGCCATGCCGCAATCCCTTCTCCTCCATTCTCTTCTCAGGATCTTGGGCACACCCACACACGTGCCCACTGTGAGTTTAAGCCACTGGATCAGGGACTCGAACTGTGGTCAACTACATGGGAGTCCAGCGACATAGCCATTATGCCAAATGCTGGTCCCTCACATCAGTTTTTTTTAAAATCCTGAAAATCTCCAACAGAAATAGCAGAGGACAGGGAAAGATGGCTCAAAAGAAATAAAAGTAACTGTTGGCTGCTCTAATAAGCAGAAAGAGTCTAGATCGTGCATATCCTGTCATTGGTGTCAGAAATGAATTAGAGCGCCTGTCCAGGGGGTGGTAATCTTTTTAAAATTAAGACTCTGAAGCAGTACAAAATTCTCAGTAGCCCTTCTTGTTATTCTAAGATTACATTCTGTTATCTTTATTTGAGTGTTTTTGAGTGTTAAAATTGTGTTCTTTTTTTATGTATACTGACTCTGGCCATACAGCCAACCATTCCAATGGAGCAGTGTAGTTATAATCTTGTAATGAGCAGAATAGTATCCTCACATTTCACATTAGACTTTTATTTAATAGAACTTTTTCATTATACTTCCATTGTAAATGTGTAATATATTTACACGTTAACATACATAATTCAAATAAGTATACATATTATATGTACATACACATATTATACAGAAAGTATTAAACATCGGATTTTGTAATTATACAGCCTACAGTAATGCTATTGAGATTGCTTTTGTGGGGCCAGCAGGTGGCATAGCGATTACATCACTGGACTCCCACATGACCAACCAGTTTTAGTCCTGGACCTGATGGCTAGAAATTCATGCCGGGCACTGTGTGTTCGTGCCCAAGATTCTGGAAGAATGAAATAGAAGAGATTGTGGCATGGCCATTCTCCCTGGGGGGGGGTCATTTCTTGCTTTCCCTCTCACTGTCTTGTCTGTCTCTTTCTCTCCCCCCTCAGTGAGCACACATGCCCTAAGGCAAAAACCTCTCAAAAAAAAAAAAAGAGAAAGAGAGAGATTGCTTTAGTACTTAATATTCTGAAATATTTATGTAAACTAGGCTGTTATGTCCCTTACATAATTTTCTTTTGTCAAAATCTTTTCTCTGGAATGAGAACATAACTTTAAAAATTTATCAGCAGGCCAATCAGTAGGTGGCATGGTGGTTGAGGTACTGGACCTCCACATGGCTGACTGTGGTTCAAGTCTCAGACCTGGCAGCTTGTTCTCTCTCTTTTTCTCTCTCTCTGTCTCTTCCTGGTGAGCATGCATGCCCTGTAGCAAATTTAAAAAATAATAGTAATGATAAATAAAATTAAATAAATAAATCTCTCTTTTTTTGGAAAGGTTTTTGCTATAGGGCGCATGCGCTCGCCAGAGAGACAGAGAGACAGAAACTGAGAAATCACTCCCCGGGGGATGGTCACACTGAAATTCCATGGTGAGTTTCAAGCCACTAGGTCGGGGACTTGAACCATGGTTATGAGTTTAAGCCACCGGGTCCGGGACTCGAACCGTGGTCGACTACATGGGAGTCTAGTGACATAACCATTATGCTAACTGCTGGTCCCATAAATAAATCTTTTTTTAAAAAAAAGTTAATCAGCTTTGGGGCCAGCAGGTAGCATAGTGGTTAATGTGCTGGACTCTGAAATGACCAACCATGGTTCAAGTTCCAGACCCAGCAGCTTGAATATGATGCTAGGCACATGTATTTGCATACCCAAAATCCCAGGAGGAGAAGGAAGGAGAAAAGATTGCAGCCTAGCCATTCCCCTGGGGGTAAGAATTATTTTATTTGGAGACCAGTGGGTGGCATGGTGTAGTGCAAGGCACTGCACTCTCACATGACCGACTATGGTTTACAACCCAGACCTGGTGGCTTGCTTTCTCACTTTCTCTCTCTCTCTCTCTCTCTCTCTGGTCAAATTAAAAATAAATGAATAAATAGATTACAATTAAATAAATTCTTTAAAACAAAAAAAAGAATTGTTTTATTTATTTATTTATTTTAAGTTTGACCAGGCTGGCGACAGGGGAGAAAGTGAGAAACCAAGCTGCCAGATTTGGCACTCAAATCCTAGTCAGTCACATGGGAGTCCAGCACCTTACTCACCATGCCACCTGCCAGCCCCTTATCAGCTTTGTAAATGCTTTGTCCCTTTACTGGATCTTAGAAGTTACTTTGCTAAATTTTTTTTATTTTGGAGAGGTTTTCGCTATAGGGCGCATTCGCTCGTCAGACACAGAGAGAGAGACAGAGACAGAAAGCGAGAAATCACTCCCTGGGGGCATGGCCATGCCGCAGTCCCTTCTCCTCCATTCTCCTCTCGGGATCTTGGGCACGCACGCACACGCGCCTGGTGTTAGTTTTAAGCCACCGGGTGCGGGACTCGAACCACGGTTGACTACATGGGAGTCCAGCGACATAGCCATTACGCTAACTGCTGGTCCCCTTTGCTAATTTTTTTAATGTGCTCTCTTGATTGATTTCCTTTAGTGAAGTACTAACTAGAATATTCTCTGTCCTGTGCATGCTGGAAAGCAAAATAAGTTCCTACTAATTATTCTTTCTTTTTTTTAAATAATTATATAAGTGTATTTATTTATTTGTTTGTTTGTTTGTTTATTTTAATTTTTACCAGAAAGGGACAGAGAGAGAGAGAGAAAAAAAAAATGAGAAAGCAAGTCGCCAGGTCCAGGTCTCAAACAGTGGCCAGCCTTGTGGGAATCCAGTGCCCTTTACCAGCATGCCACCTACCAACTCCCCCACTAATTATTCTTTAGCTACTTAAGTTTTTCACCAAGAAGTAAACTTTTTGGTAGGTTATTTCTGTAAACAGGTATAGTTTGTTCATAGTAACATGCCTAACTGTGCTAGCAGGCAAATAATTGAAGTTGTCAATACTGTGCATCTAAAATGCCCTTAAAATAGTCTATAGATCTGTTGAGTCACTTAACTTTTAAATCTTACTGTTAATACTGTAAATTTATATCATAAAATGGCTCTAATGTCAGAGTTTCCTTTTTTTCTTTAAATGTTTACTTGGAAAAAAAGTCTTCCTTTAGTATTTATATGGTTATTTTCTTTAAAATCAACCCATGGGTTCTGTCAGGTGGCATTGTGATTAAGGTGCTGGACTCCCACATGGCTGACTAAGATTCGAGACCTGGACCTGGCAACTTGCTTTCTTATTCTTCCTCTCTCTCTCACTCAGTCTCTGTCCCTCTGCTCAAATTGAGTAAGACTACTAGTAATAATGAATAAAATTTAATAATTTTTTAATCTACCCATGAAAACGCCTTTTCTATTATTTTCTTCATTTTCAGACAAGAGGAGCCGCTTTTTTCATTATTGCTGTGATCTGTTTACTGCTTTTCGACAATGATGACCTCATGGCTAAAATGGCAGAACACCGTATCCTTTTGAAACAGATAAGAGTTAAAGTGTTGAAGAAAAACAGAAGGTTGGCAAAATGGGAAAAGAAGTAAATGATCAATCATGAATGAAATTTTCATAAATTAATGCAGACATTCTAAATCAGTATTCAAATAATAAATTCATTCTAAGTTTAATATTTCATGGCATCTTCATATCTTCTACTGTACCTTATACTTTCAGAAACTTAGGGACATTGAAAGAGTATTTTAGAATGCCTAATGCTAAAAAATATATAAGTGATTTGTTACTCACCATAATAAATTTGTTTGTTCCCTTGTAATTTAACAATTTAAGTGCTCCTAAACAAAGAACCTTTGAGTTTAAATTCACCTACCTGGTATTCACCTCTGGCTCTAAATGATTGTTTCAGCTCAGCCCCTAGTCTGCCCTTGTGTAAACACAGCTTGGAGTCACTACTCACTTTACTGACTTTGTCCACTACATTAAGTAGAACTCAGAGCAACAGTTTCGATTCTTCTGGTACTAATATTCACTGCCCTAAAACTTTTTAATGATTTAATAGTAATTTATTTTGTTGAAATGAAAGAGGGGAGCATGATTTGAAAAATCTCCAGCTTGTCGTGATACAACTTCCATTCCCCATTCCATCTTCTTTTACTTGCTACCTACTTTGCCAAGACTTATTTGGTCAATGACTTATAAGAAAGATTTAGCACCTATTTTACATGTCATTTTAAAAGGACCAGCAGGTAGTGTGGTAGTGAAGATGCTAGATTCCCACATATCTGACCATGGTTCGAATCCTGGACCTGGTGGCTTGAAAATCACAGCAGGCACATGTGTTTGCATGTCTGCCCAAAATTCTAAGAGAAGGGAGGAGAAGGGATTATGGCATGGCCATCCCCTTGAGGGGTTATATATCTTTCCTTCTCTGTCTTTCTCTCTGGTGAGTGCATGTGCCCTATGGCAAAAACCTAAAAAAAATAAAATAAAATAAAAAGACAAGCTTAACTTCGCTGGATTGGAATGGTCCAAGATGATTCCCTGTTCTTGTCCATTTGTCCTTATAGTATGTGTGCATGTCTTTTGCGGGTTAAGTACTAAAATTTAGCAACCATACCTTAAGCACTATTATCATTGTTTTGGAGATAGCAAAAGATATACCAGCCTTTCCAGTTTTTAAATCATGTCCCAGAATTAAACTTCAGATTATTTTATCTTTAAGGGAAACATGTTATTAAAGGTAATCAGGTTTAGAGCCCCCAGACCAGTCTATGTTCAATCAGAAATACAGCTAAAATTTCAGGAGGACTTCAGATTTCAAAAAATAAATATTTGGACCTTTTTCCTTTACGCTTACTCCCTTAGCTGAAGGACATCATGACAGTGCTCTAACTCACATGCTTTACACAGCCATTGCCTTCTTAGGTGTGGCAGATCACAAGGTATGTTCTTGGCTTTTTGTTTTGTTTTGTTTTGTTTTTCTGGAGAGGTTTTTGCTATATGGCGCGTGCACTTGCCAAAAAGACAGAGACAGACAGAAAGCAAGAAATCACCCCCCAGGAGGGATGGCCACATCACAGTCCCTTCTCCTCTAGGAATCTTGGGCACGCACACACACGTGCCCAGTGTGAATTTAAACCACTGGGTCCGGGACTCAAACCATAGTTGACTACATAGGAGTCCAGCGACATAGCCATTACACTAACTGCTGGTCCCCTTGGCTTTGTTTTTAATGTGATCAAAAAAAAAAAAAAATCTGAAAAATTATGGCATCTGTAACTTTAAGAGGGCATTTAAAGTAAGTTATCAGTAATTTACAACATTGCCTACCATTTAAGTACTTAGGTAATGAGGATATGGAAAACATAGTGCTAGTTCCATTTCTTCAAATAACATGTACATAGGATTTGAGTATTGGACTGTATGTAATTCTAATGAGACTTGTCTGATTTTACTTGTAGGGTGGAGTATTGTTGCTAGTTCTGGCTTTGTGTTGTAAGGTTGGTTTTCATACAGCTTCTAGAAAGCTCGCTGTGGATGTTGGTGGAGCCAAACGTCTTCAAGCTTTAACCCATCTTGTCTCAGTGCTCCTCTTGTGTCCATGGGTCATTGTTCTTTCTGTGACCACTGAGGTAAGAGCAAGAATTAGAGATAATAAAGTGGAATGCATTACTATTACTTATAAATCTTAGTTCAATACATTGTACTTTCTTTTAATTTGGGATTGAAAGTAACTTAAATTATCTTTGCTTTTTCTTTGTAGTTTCAAGAAAATACTTTGTTTCTTTTATTTATATAAAATGCAAATCAAATACTAGTCCATTTACATATCTTTCACATTTCTATGGCTCAAAGGAAGCAAAGAAACAACAATTAAACACCATGCATTAGACTCAAGAATTATGGGTCACCTAGTATTAATAAAATTATTAAGCAATAATACTTCTGTTTTTTAATACTTAGGAAAATGTACCAAATATCTTTTAGCTCTTATGTACTTGCACTTTCTGAACCATGAGAATACAAGTTTATATATAAAAAGATTTTTAAAAAATCTTGTACAATGTAAACTTTATGCCCATATAGTATTGATAAGTTCATTCTGTTTTTTTTTTTTTTCGCTTTTCTAGAGTAAAGTTGAATCTTGGTTTTCTCTCATTATGCCATTCACAACGGTTATCTTTTTTGTTATGATCCTGGATTTCTACGTCGATTCCATTTGTTTAATCAAAATGGACGTTTCCAAATGTGCCCGCTATGGATCTTTTCCCATTTTTATTAGTGCTCTCCTTTTTGGAAATTTTTGGACGCATCCAATAACAGACCAGCTTCGAGCTATGAACAAAGCAGCACACCAGGAAAGCACTGAGCACGTCCTGTCGGGAGGAGTGGTAGTGAGCGCTATATTCTTCACTTTGTGTAAGCACTTCCCTTTTTAGTTTAACACATTTCCTTTTCTGGATTCTGATGGTCAAGATCATTTCCTTAATTTTGGAAATTGCTTGCATTTAGTGCCAGCAGTTTCCAAGCTGGTTTTGGTAAGTTAAAATTTTAAAACTTTGTGATACTCTTTTTTATCTCTTTATAGCCGCCAACATCTTATCATCTCCTTCTAAGAGAGGACAGAAAGGAACCTTTATTGGATATTCTCCTGAAGGAACGCCTCTCTATCACTTTATGGGTGATGCTTTTCAGCATAGTTCTCAGTCCATCCCAAGGTTTATTAAGGAATCACTAAAACAAATTCTTGAGGAGAGTGACTCTAGGCAGATCTTTTACTTCCTGTGCTTGAATCTGGTAAGATTTTTATTTTTAAAAGTTTCACATTTTAATTTTTACAATTCCAGTATAATTGAATAATTCCCAAATTTCTGATCATTTCAAATTGGATGAAATTTACATTTTTATGGTAGCAAGATTACAGAATTACATTCAGATTACTTAAGCAAATAATTTTGAGGCATTTTACAAGCACTGATTTAGTATATTCTTTCAAATCAGTATGGGGGGCTATCTACTCCTTATAGGATTTCACAACATAACGCTGAGTGCTAACATTTTATAGTCTAGTTTATTGCTTTTTACAGACATAAAAATAAAACTATCTCCTGCTAAGTAGTTTATAAGATGGATATATCTGATTTATCTTAGTTTTTTTAACTTTATATGAAACTAGATTTCTAGTATCAATGACAGTTAAATAACTAAAGAGGCAGAATTATAGCAGATCTTCAAGTAAAGTTTCGTTAATTAAGTTTTAAAATCCTCATGATTAAATTTTGTTAAATCTCTATTGAAACTATTTCCCAACATACTCCTCCCGTATTTTTTTAAACATTTTTAGCTTTTTACCTTTGTGGAATTGTTCTATGGCGTGTTGACCAATAGTCTGGGTCTGATCTCAGATGGATTTCATATGCTCTTCGACTGTTCGGCTTTGGTCATGGGACTTTTTGCTGCCTTGATGAGTAGATGGAAAGCCACTCGGATTTTCTCTTATGGGTAGGTACACTGTCTATTAAGGTGATGTAGCAATGGAAAAATCCGAAGTGCAAATTCTATCTCAGATAATAAACTTTTATTATTTTCAATATAAAATAATTGCCAGATCTTCATTTTTCTTGAATAGATAAGGAGATATGAGCCACGCAAGCATTTGATAAATACTAGATGGTAGTAAGCTCAAGATTATACTCCTAGGGGGACCAGCAGGTGGCATGGTGGTTAAGGTGCTGGACACTCCCACATGGCCGACCATGGTTTGAGTCCCGGATCTGGTGGCTTCCTTTCTCACTTTCCCTCTCTCTCTTTCCTTCTTTGTGTCACTCTCTGGTCAAATTAAAATAAATGAGTGAATAAATAAAATTAAATAAATAATTATTAAAAAAAAAAAAAAAGATTATACTCCTAGGGACAGCAGGTGGTGTGGTGGTTATGGTGCTATACTTCTACATGCTGACTGCCATGTTCAAGGCCCAGACGTGACAGCTTGCTTTTTCACTTTTTCTCTCTCTCTGATAACCACACATGCCTGATAGCAAATTAAATCATAATAATCATAAATTAAATCAATAATTCTTTTTCTAAAAATTACACTCCGTAATAAATCCTCTCTATTATTCTCCCCCGAACATATCCTCTCTATAGTCAGGGAGCAAAAAACAGTTAAAAATCTTGTGATCTTTGCCCAACAATGTTTTGGGTTTCTTTTGAGGCAATGAAATGTGTATGGTTATATCCCTCATTCCTGCTAAAAACAGTATTCAAAATTTGAACCTATAAATGAAAATAGCCTTTCACTAAACAATTTAATCCAGCAGATACAGTAAAATCTCTTTTTGTGGTTGGTATTTTGATAAGACCTACTCAAAATTAATTAATTCAGCTTTTTTTTAAGTGTTTACTATATTTTAAATAATGAATGAGCCAGAAATATAAATAATTTTTGGTACAAAGCAGAATCTGTGTGTCATGACAGAGATACAGAGCACATCAGGAGTTGAAGAGACTTCTTGCAAGGAAGTTAGGAAAAGGGTACCAAAGAAGGACTTTGATGAATATACAAAATTTCAACATGTACAAGGGAACTTCAAAAAGTTTGTGGAAAAATGGAATTACAGTATGAGTTAATTTTAATGCAAAAACAAAAATTGAAGTCCATGTATAGTTTTTTCTTAATACCATTTTCCATGCACTTTTGGAAACCCTTCATAATATATTTGTGTGTGTATGAGAGAGAGAGAGACAGGACTTTGCATAATTAATAAGATATTTAAAATCTTGGTCATTTTGTATTATTTATTTAGTAGCTTGACAGTAATCTTTCATATCTAAAAGCTATTTTGTATTTTTAGGTATGGCCGAATCGAAATTCTCTCTGGATTTATTAATGGACTTTTTCTAATAGTAATAGCTTTTTTTGTGTTTATGGAATCAGTGGCTAGACTGATTGATCCTCCGGAATTAGACACACACATGTTGACAGTAAGTTTTTAATTTCCCTATTTGATTTACTACTTACAGTTTTTTTCATGCTAAAGTCTAGCTTTTATAGTTATTGATCTAGGAAGGTTTTTACTTTTTTATTTAAATGAACATAACTTGCTATCTTGCTGAATACACTGCTATCTTTTACAAATTAAGCCTTTTCGCTAAATTTTAGTAGACAAAATACCAGATGATATTGTAAAACATGGCTATTTTCCTGACTTATTAACTACTTTTCTTTGAAATGTGTTTTAAAATACCTGAGGAAATTTGCACAAAGTAAAAAATAAAATCAGGAAAATAATTACAATTTTAAAGACTTTCCTCTATATATTATTGCTGTAGCAACATTTAATATTCTTGTCATACTTCCAAACTTTGACGTGTGCTAATTCTCATAGCTGGCATGCCCTTCCCTCTCTATTTTACTAGTATTTCTCCTCTGGTAGGATATTTTCCCTTAATCCTGTTCTTCTCCTCGCCCAAAATTTCTTAGATTTCCCCTCCTTGATATTTTCATTGTATCAAGTGCATTCCTCTTTTAGCAACACAGAGTTGCAGTTGTTCGTCATTCTTCCACAGTGAATATGTATCATTAACTATTCTTTTGATGGTTAATTTTTTTATTTTAAAAATTTATTTATTTTATTTGTTATTATTTTTTAGATTTGTTCATTATCATCATAATCTTGTTTATATTACATTGAATTGCATATTACTTTACAGTGTATTACATTCCTTTTTCCAGAGGGAATACCATGCATGTTAGTCAATACAGAGAAATGTGTTTTAAAATACCTGAGGAAATTTGCACAAAGTAAAAAATAAAATCAGGAAAATATTACAATTTTAAAGACTTTCCTCTATATATTATTGCTGTAGCAACATTTAATATTCTTGTCATACTTCCAAACTTTGACGTGTGCTAATTCTCATAGCTGGCATGCCCTTCCCTCTCTATTTTACTAGTATTTCTCCTCTGGTAGGATATTTTCCCTTAATCCTGTTCTTCTCCTCGCCCAAAATTTCTTAGATTTCCCCTCCTTGATATTTTCATTGTATCAAGTGCATTCCTCTTTTAGCAACACAGAGTTGCAGTTGTTCGTCATTCTTCCACAGTGAATATGTATCATTAACTATTCTTTTGATAGTTAATTTTTTTATTTTAAAAATTTATTTATTTTATTTGTTATTATTTTTTAGATTTGTTCATTATCATCATAATCTTGTTTATATTACATTGAATTGCATATTACTTTACAGTGTATTACATTCCTTTTTCCAGAGGGAATACCATGCATGTTAGTCAATACAGAGACATTAAAATCCCCACTTCATCATTCATTAACTCAAATTCTAGCACCTGGTTTGTTCTAGAAAATCTGCAATTAACTGTTGAATGACTACACTGAACCTTGTTGGTGAAAACATATATTAATAAAATGTTTTAGAGGTACAGTTTGGAAGTATATATTAGAATTTTAAGTGTTCCTCGCCTTTCACCTGTAGTATTTATCCTGCAGAAACATTGAAAGTATACCAAAGTACATAATTAATTATACCATTGTTTATAATAGTGAAAAAAAATCTAAACAATTTGGTGTCCACCAATGAAAGAACTAGTTAAATAAATTTGCTATTAATATAATAGAATACTGTGCATTTATTAGGGCCAGCTTATGGCATAGCAGTTATGTAGCTGGACTTGCACATGGCTGACCGTGGCTTGAGTTACGGACCTGGTGGCTACAAACTCATGCCAGGTGTGGGTGCATGCCCAAGATCCCGGGAGGAGAATGGAGGAGAAGGGATCGTGGCATGGCCAGCCCCACATGGGGTGACTTTTCATTTTCTCTGTCACTCTCACTGTCACTGTCTCTGTCTCTCTGACAAGCACATGCACCCCAAGGCAAAAACCTCTTAAAAAAGAGTACTGTGCGGGCCAGCAAGTGGCTTGGTGGTTAAGGGCGCTGGACTCCCACATGGTTGAGTGAGGTTCAAGTCCTGGACCTGGCGGCTCGCTCGCTCGCTCTCTCTCTCTCTCTCTCTCTCTCTATCCCTCTCTGGTCAAATTGAAATAAATGAATGAATAAATAGTTAAATAAAATCATTTTTAAAAAGAATACTATGCAGTTATTAAAAGAGGAACATATATCTATGCTGGTATGAAAAATACTTAAAAGATAGTACATTCTAAGTGAAAAATAAATCGCAAAATGATTACTGCTTTTAAATGGTATACATGGAGGGACCAGCAGTTAGTGTAATGGCTATATCGCTGGACTCCCATGTAGTCGACCGCAGTTTGAGTCCCAGACCCAGCGGCTTAAACTCACGCCAGGCACGTGTGCGTGCGTGCCCAGAATCCCAAGAGGAGAATGATGAAGGAGAAGGGAATGCGACATGGCCATCACCCCTGGGGGGTGATTTCTTGCTTTCTGTCTCTCTGTCTCTGTTTTTCTGGTGAGCGCACGCACCCTCTAGCAAAAACCTCTTTAAAAAAAAAAAGATATACATGGATACCAGCAGATAGCATTATGGTTACGGCACTGGACTCCCAAGTGGTCAACTTCAGTTCAAGTCCCAGATCCAGTGGCTTAAAATTCACACCTGGCACATGTGCGTGCATGCCCAAGATCCCATGAAGAGAATGGAGGAGAAGAGATTGCAGCATGGCCATCCCCCCTGGGGAGTGATTTCTCACTTTTTGTCTCTGTCTCTCTGGCAAGTATACATGCCCTATAGCAAAAATCTCTAAATAAATAAATAAAAGGTATATAAGAATGTGTGTCCACTAACATACATACATAGAAAAAACATATCATGCTTCGAGGAGTAACTAATTCTCAGAGGTAGAAATGTAGGAGACTTTTACTTACTACGTTTTTTACATGAGATTTTTTGCAATAGGTCAAAAAATCTGTACTTGCTGGAGAAACAGAAAGCAAGAAATCACCCCTAGGGGAGATGGCCACTCTGCATTCCCTTCTCCACCATTCTCCTCCTGGGATCTTCGGGACCCACACATACATACACATACACATACACACACACCCAGCGTGAATTTTAAGTCACCGGGTCTGGGATTCGAACCATGGTCAGCTTCATGGGAGTTCAGTGATGTAAACACTATGCCATCTGCTTGCCTCTAAAGATGAAGTATTTCTTAGTAGAGGAATGTTTATGTGTTGATGAGGTTTTAATAAGTAGCACTTGGTCTTGTTTCAACTCATTAATGATTCATAGAGCTTATGGAAATTTTTAAATCTGAAAAAGAAATTATCTAAATCATAGGAAGAAGTAAATGAACTCCATATGTATTTATTAAAGTATCTTTTTTACTACCTTTGAAAGTAATTAAAATTTTTTTGAGTCCTTCATTTTTATATTTTCCTTCTCTAAAAAACAATTTCTCTAGAGGAAAAAATGTACACATGTGAGTTAAATAACACTTGGCACTATTATTCAAAATCTTTTATAAGAGGATAATCAAGAGTGTGTAACTTTGTCTATTCTTTGAAGTATTTTAGCACCATTCAATCCAGATAATTTTATTCACTTTGTTAGAAAAGAAAGAGAAATTACTACTATATTTTTGCTTTTTCATTATACAATACGATTATATTTATTTGAAATCCACTGGTCAATAAATTATAATCATCACTGGGACCAGCAGTTAGCATAATGGCTATGTCGCTGGACTCCCATGTAGTCAACCGCGGTTCAAGTCCTGGACCTAGTGGCTTAAACTCACACCGTGCGCGCGCGCGTGTTTGTGTGTGCCCAAGATCCCAAGAGGAGAATGGTGGAGAAGGGGTTGCAGTTTGGCCATCCCCTGTCAGGACTGATTTCTCACTTTCTGGCTCTCTGTCTTTCTGGTGAGCACACGCGCCTGATAGCAAAAAAACTCTCAAAAAAAAAATTATAATCATCACCATTTTAAACCATTGAAATTTACCTAGTAATTATAAGTAAGGTTTCAGGTACAGTGTATACTTGACCTAGTAAGCAGTACTTCATCAACCAAATAATTTTTAATTACTTAATTAAAATAAGTGATAATCTATATTTCAATTCTGTTTGCATTAAAAAGTTAAAATATTTCTTATAAAATATTCTGAGTTTTTTTTTTCTTTTTTTTTTTTTTTTTTCTTTTTTGGAGAGGTTTTTGCTATAGGGCGCATGCACTCACCAGAAAGACAGAGAGAAAGTGAGAAATCATCCCCCAGGGGGGATGGCCATGCCACAATCCCCTCTCTTCCATTTTCTTCTCGGGATCTTGGGCACGCACGCACACACGCCCGGTGTGAGTTTAAGCCACTGGGTCCGGGACTTGAACTACATGGGAGTCCAGCAACATAGCAATTACATTAACTGCTGGTCCCTGAGATTTATATTTTTAAATTTTGGACTTTGGCATGGTGGTTGAATTGCTGGACTCCCACATGGCTGACCACGGTTCAAGTCCCGAACCTGGCAGTTTGCTTTCTCACTCTCCCTTTCTCACTGTCTGTCGCTTTCTGGTCAAAATTGAAGAAGAATAATAAATAAAAATTAAAAATCTTTTAAAAAAAAGGAAATCTTAATTTAAAAATTGGATTTAGTGAACTTGGGATTTACATGAATACTTTGAAACTGTAAATAGGAAAATATATGTAGCTAGATCAAAACTTTTAAATAACAAGTTTATTTTTTAAATGACAAATTTAAAGAATTTAAAGGTTTTCTTTTTTCCCTTTTACTAGCCAGTGTCAGTTGGAGGGCTGATAGTAAACCTTATTGGTATCTGTGCCTTTAGCCATGCCCATAGCCATACCCATGGAGCTTCTCAAGGAAGCTGTCACTCATCTGATCACAGCCATTCACACCATATGCATGGACATGGTGACCATGGGCACGGTCACAGCCACGGCTCTACAGGAGGAGGCATGAATGCGAACATGAGGGGTGAGTCCTTGCCAAATGTCCTACCTTCCATCTGTGTTCTGAATTAGCACTGTGTTTATTTTTATTAAATACTGGGTTTATAATAATGATTTTATTATAAAAAGTAACCTGTGGCCAAAATATTGTCTGAAGTTATTTGTTGTAGAAAATACATTTTTGTATACATAAAGTGGGATATTATTCAGCCTTTAAAAAGTGAGAAATTCAGGCCAGCTTGTGGCATGGTAGTGAAGGTGACTGGATCACACATGGACTCTGTAATTTGAAAAATATGCAGGGCATGGAACCAGCAGATGGCGTAATGGTTATGTTACTGGACTTCCACATAGTTGACTGTGATTCAAGTCCTGGACCCAGCAGCTTAAAACTCACACCAGATGCATGTACATGTGTGCCCAAAGTCCCAAGAGGAGACTGGAGAAGAAGGGATTACAGCGTAGCCGTACACCCTGGGGGGTGGTTTCTCACTTTCTGTCTCTCTGTCTCTGGTGAGCTCATGCACCCTATAGCAAAAATCTCTCTCAAAAAAAATAAAAGAAAGAAAAATATGGAGGGCACACATGCGTGCATACCCAAATTCCTAAAAGGAAGAAGATAGAGGAGAAAGGAATGCAGTGAGACCATCCACAATTACAGGGTTACTTTCTCACTTTCTCTTGCTCACTCTCTCTTTCTTTCTCTAGTGAGAACACAGACCCTCCAGCAAAATAAATATATACATAAATAATTAAAAACTGAGAAAATCTGTAACATGTGACAACATAGCTAAACTGTGAGGAAATTAACGCTAAGTGAACAAAGCCAGTCATGGGACCAGCAGTTGGTGTAATGGCTATGTCGCTGGACTCCCAGATAGTTATTGTGGTTCAAGTCCTGGACCCAGTGGCTTAAACTCACGCCAGGCGCGTGTGCATGCGTGCCCAAGATCCCAAGAGAAGAATGGAGGAGAAGGGATTGCAGCGTGGCCATCACCCTTGGGGGTGGGGGTGATTTCTTGCTTTCTGTCTCTGTCTCTGCCTTTCTGGCGAGCACATGTGCCCTATAGCAAAAACCTCTCAGAAAGAAAGAAAGAGAGAGAGAGAGAGAAAGAAAGAGAAAGAAAGAGAAAGACAGAGAAAGAGGGAGGGAGGGAGCGAGCGAGCGAGCCAGTTATAGAAAGATAAATACTCCAGGGACCAGCAGTTAGCGTAATGGCTATGTCACTGGACTCCCACGTAGTCGACCGTGGTTCGTGTCCCAGACCCGGTGGCTCGAAACTCACACCGGGCACGTGTGCATGCATGCCCAAAATCCCAAGAGGAGAATGGAGGAGAAGGGATTGCGGCGTGGCCATCCCTCCAAGGGGTGATTTCTCACTTTCTGTCTCTCTGTCTCTCTCTTTCTGGCAAGCGCACGCGCCCTATAGCAAAAACCTTTCCATAAAAAAGAAAGAGAAATATTCCATAATACCACTTATTTGTGGTGAAAGTGATGGAATCCATGAGTAGAATGGTTGTGGTTAGGAAGAAGAAGAAATAGAGGCTACTAATCAATGGGCATTAAGTTTCTAATGAAGACGAATATGCTCTAGAGATATACTGTACAACATTGTATCTTCAGTCAACAATAATGTACACTTAAAATTTTGTTAATACAGGGACCAGCAGTTGGTATAATGGCTATGTCACTGGACTCACATGTGCATGCGTGCCCAATATCCCTAGAGGAGAATGGAGAAGGGATTCGACATGGCTATCTCCCTTGGGGGGTGATTTCTCACTTTCTGTCTCCCTGTCTGTCTTTCTGGCGAGCCCACACGCCCTATAGCAAAAAAACTCTAAAAAAAAAAATGATTTTTTTAATACAGTAAATTTCTTGTTAAGTGTTTTTACTGTAATAAAATATTTTAATTTTTTAAATGAAAATAAAAATATATTTGTTCAGAAATGTTAACTTTAAATAAATTATTATATTTATAGAGTCCTCTTCATAGTGGTAGTTGAAAAAGACAAATATTAGTTGCAAAGAAATCACTTGAGTGTACTCTTGAGAACTTTGACTACCAAAAAACCAAGACATTTTTATGGTAGCGTAAAAAAAATAAATAAAGGAAATATTAATCGCTTATTTTGTTTTTTGTTTATTCTGGTTGTTTAAGTAATTTGGTTCGTGTCAAACTTGGCTCAAGCATGATTTTTAGGAAGCCTTTCCAGACAAAGTGCACTGTTAAAAACTGGCCACACTGTGACATAGTTGCCCATGTCTTTACCTTTTTACTGTACTCTTAATTCCTTGAGGGTGGTGCCCACATTATAGTCATTTTGAAGTACCAGTCACTAGCAAACTATATGATACATAGTAGATACCCCACAATATTGGTAGGATGGATAAAAGAACTAAATTAGATGTACCTTAATTTTTAATGTTCTTATGTATTTTATTTGTAGGTGTGTTTTTACATGTTTTGGCAGACACACTTGGCAGTATTGGTGTGATTGTATCCACAATTCTTATAGAGCAATTTGGATGGTTCATTGCCGATCCACTCTGTTCTCTTTTCATTGCCATATTAATATTCCTCAGTGTTGTCCCACTGATAAAAGATGCCTGTCAGGTTCTACTTCTGAGACTGCCACCAGAATATGAAAAAGAACTACATATTGCTTTAGAAAAGGTACTGTATGTAATTTCTTGGTCATTCTTTTTCTTCTAAAATAGCATTTTAAATTAAGTTGGCTTAATAAGTAATGTGCACAATATGAAGAAAATACAGTTTTACTTAAAAGGTCATAAAGCAGCAACTGCATAAAAGTAGAGGAGCATTTTCGTGGATAGGAAGGCTGTTTTATGAAGATGTTAATTTTTTAATTTAAATCTCAATTCTACTGCACCTCATTGTGATATTATGTAATTTTGGTTTTGTAGGATATATCCAATAATATTTGTAACTTGTTTGGAAGAGTTAGGCTTGATGAAAAACAAAACACACTAATTTACAGAAATAACAAATACTAGGATCCTGTTTTAGTATTAAAATTAACTCACAAAACTAAAACAGTTTGGTCCTTGCACAAGAATAATTAATTTTTTAAAAAACAGTAGGTTGTCTGGACAGCAGGTGGTGTGGTAGTTGGGGTGCTAGACTTCCACATGGCCGACTGGTTTGAGTCCCAAACCTGGAGGCTTGCTTTCTCACTTGACCTCTCTCTCTCTCTCTGTCTCTCTCTGTCTCTCTCTGATGACTATAGAAAGCTAAAAATAATTATAATAATAACAATAAATAAAATAAATAATTCTTTAAAAAAAAAAAAAACGCAGGTTGTCCAGAAATGGACCCAGAAACTTACGGGATTCAGTTTATAGCAAAAATAGCATTTCAGATCAGTGAAAACCTCTCAATAAAAAAATATATTAAAAAAAAAAAAAGAAAGAAAAAATGTGAAATTTTCAGGGCCAGCAGATGGATGGGGGTTAAGGTGCTGGTCAACATGGTCGACCACAGTTTGAGTCCCAGACCTGACAGCTTACTTTATCACTTTCTTTCTCTCTCCGTTTCTCTCTCTCTCTCTAAAAATAAATAAATAAATAAATTAGGGGGAAAAATGTGTTTCCAGTAGATTAAGTATTGGGTTGTCAGAAAAGTCAAGATGTATTTTTGCATAGAAAACCATGGGGCAAGGGGCAAGAAAAACATAGAGGGGCCAACAGGTGGTATAGTAGTTAAGGTGCTGGACTCCCATGTAGTCAACCACAGTCCAAGTCCCAGACTCGGCTACTTGAAATTCATGCCGGTCATATGTGTGTGCATGTCCAAAATCCCAAGAGAAGAATGGAGGAGAAGAGAATGTGTCTCTGTCTCTCTAGTGAACACACATGTTCTATGGCAAAAATTGCTTTCAAAAAAAAAAAAAGGAAAGGAAAAGAAAAACATAGAAAAGTATGTCATGACTTTTCCAATGACCCAATATATTAATTACAAAAAATTATAAAATTATTGGGACCAGCAAGTGGCATGGTGGTTAAGGCTCTGGACACTCCCGTATGGTTGACCACGGTTTGAGTCCCGGACCTGGCGGCTTACTTTCTCACTTTCCCTCAACTCTTCCTCTGTGTCTCTCTCTGGTCGAATTAAAATAAATGAGTGAAAAAATAAAATTAAATAAAAAATAATTCTTTAAAAAATTATAAAACTATTAAAATAGAGTATATTTTTATAGTCACAGAGCTAGGGAAGGCCTTTTTAAAAGGTTGAAGTGAAAACAGGTACCAGGAAGGGAAACAAAATCTACAAATCCTACCAATTGAAAATTTCCAAAATTGGTGAAAGAATCCATTAACAAATACAAAATATAAAAAGTAGACCAAGAGAAAATATTTGCAGCATATTTAAACAGGCAGAGGCTTACTAACCACAGTCTTTCAAATCAAGAAAGCCATGGGACCAGCAGTTAGCGTAATAGCTATGTTGCTGGACTCACATGTAGTCAACCGCAGTTCAAGTCCTGGACCTGGTGGCTTAAACTCACAGCGGGCGCGTGTGCGTGCGTGCCCAAGATCCCTAAAGGAGAATGGAGGAGAAGGGATTGTGTCTTGGCCATCCCCCCATCCCCCCAGGGAGTGATTTCTCGCTTTCTGTCTCTCTGTCTCTCTCTGTCTTTCTGGAGAGTGCACACACCCTATAGCAAAAACCTCTTTAAAAAAAAAAAAAGAAAAGAAAGCCATGTTAGCCAGTGGCATAGCAGTTAGAGCAGATAGATCCCACATGGCTGCCTGGACAGTTTGAATCCCATACCTGGCGACTTGAGAAATGAAACCAAGCACATGTGCATGTGTTCCTCAGGGCATGATAGGGATAGGTGGAGGAGAAGTGATTGTGGCATGACCCATCCCCATGGAGGGATTGTGTTCTCTCTCTCTCTCTCTCTCTCTCTCTCTCTCTCTCTGTCTGTCTTTGTCTCTCTCTCTCTCTCTCTCTTAGGATTTGGGCCAGGCATGCACATGTTCCCGGAGTGTTTTTCAAGCCACTGGGACTAAAATTCATACTCCAGTCAGCTATGTGGGATCTGGCTCCCTTAATCACTGGGCTATAGGGAGAGCCCCTAATGCATTATTGTTATTGTGACTTTTTAGGTTGTTGTCATAGAGTGTGTGCATTCACCACAAAAAGGCAGAGAGACAGACAGAAGGAAAGTGAGAAATCACCCCCTCGGGGGATGACCATGCCCTAATCTGTTCTCCTCTCAGGATTTCGAGCACACACCCACACACATCAGTGTGATTCTGAGGCCACCAGATCCAGGATACAAACGATTGTCAGCATTTTAACCACCATGCCACCTGCAGGCCCCCCTATTGCATTTTTAATGACAGTATAATATTACACTGTATGGGTAGTCAGTAATATATTTAACCAATCTTCTGTTGAACATTGAAGATATGTTTTGATTATATTATCTCCTTATGACAAACAGTGCATATGTATAGATCAGTGTAAAGGAAAGCGTGTAGTTCATTGAACATGTCTAGGTAATGTTTAAAATAGACAAAGCGCACATATTATGAAAATGTGTATATAACTACTGGTGACAGCCAAATTTGCATGTAATGATACCTGTAACCTCCATGTACCATCCTATTCAGAGCTGATGCCCCAGTTTTCACTCCTAGGTCAGAATACTTTAGGTCCTTTTACATTAAGCTATTGGGTTGTCAGAAATATCATGATATGTTTTTGCATAGAAAAATCTTAGCGGGGCTGGTAGGTGGTTGGTGGTTAAGGGCACTGGACTCCCACATGGCTGACCACAGTTTGAGTCTTGGACCAGGAGGCTTGCTTTCTCACTACACACACACACACACACACACTCTGTCCCTCTCTGGTCAAATTTTTTTTAAATAAATAAATAAAGTTAAAGAAAAAAGAAAAGAAAAAAATATATTATGACTTGGGACCAGCAGATGGCATAATGGCTACGTCACTGGACTCCCATACAGTTGACCACGGTTCGAGTTCCAGACCCGGTGGCTTAAACTCACACCGGACGCATGTGCGTGTGTGCCCAAAATCCCGAGAGGAGAATGGAGGAGAAGGGATTGCGGCGTGATCATTTCTCGCTTTCTGTCTCTCTGTCTCTCTGTCTTTCTGGCAAGCGCACACGCCCTACAGCAAAAACCTCTCCCAAAAAATAAAATAAAATAAAATTTTATATATATATATATAGTGACTTTTCTGACAACTCTATAGTTGTCCCTCTCCTATTCCTTCCCACTTCTGGCTTCTCCATATTTTTTTTTTCTAAATCAGCTTAATAGTGCTTCCTGAACCAATGACTGTGTGCTTTCGTTTTATCAGAAAGCATCCCCATCGTGTTGAGTATATTAACTATTAAAACCATTTATATCACCTCTTCTGTTTTCATTTGACAGATACAGAAAATTGAAGGATTAATATCATTTCGAGACCCTCATTTTTGGCGCCATTCTGCTAGTATTGTGGCAGGAACAGTTCACATACAGGTGACCTCTGATGTGCTGGAACAAAGAATAGTACAACAGGTAATAATCTCTTGTTTTTGTCATTTCACTTGGGATCATTTGGACAGAAATTTGCACAAACCGTAAGTTATATGGCTCAATAGTCATTTAACTGCTCAAAAATATTAATCTTGCAGCAGTCCAAGGGTGATATAACTTAGCTGGGTTTTTTTACATTTAGATGTATTTTATATCCGAAAATGATGAAAATAAAATCAAATTTTGGTACTGAGTGGCCAAGTTTAAGTTAATGCAAAATAAAGGTTCATTTTGGTTCCCAGAAGATTATTAGAAGTAAATTATTGGGGGAACCAGCAGTTAGCATAATGGCTATGTCGCTGGACTCCCGCATAGTCAACCGCGGTTCGCGTCCCGGACCCTGTGGCTTAAATCTCATGCTGGGCGCGTGTGCGTGCGTGCCCAAGATCCCGAGAGGAGAATGAAGGAGAAGGGATTGCGGCGTGACCATCCCCCCTGGGGGGTGATTTCTCGCTTTCTGTCTCTATGTCTCTCTCTTTCTGTCTGGCG